GCTGGAGGAAGAACAAGTTAAAGAAACTATGATTGCCTGGGGGAGGAATTTTGGATATGGGATTGACTTAGAGAAATGGCAGAAATTATGGTTGCAAAACTATAAAATGACAATGTCTACAGCCTATAAAGAAAATTTGTATAAGATGTTTTACAGGTGGCATTTTCCCCCGACAAGGATAGCAAGAATGTTCAAGAACAAATCCGAAAAATGCTGGAAATGTCATCAGAAACCTGGTTCATACTACCATATGTGGTGGACTTGTGAGGATGCTAGAAAATATTGGACTAAAATCTACATGTGGTTGTAAAAAATGACAAAGAAGCACATAGACTTGAAACCGGAGCTTTTCTTATTGGGAATCTTACCAGATGTTTATAGTAAAGAGTTGAAATATTTGATTGTAAATGTATTGACTGCGGCTAGGATTGTATTTGCAAAAAATTGGAAAAATGAGAAAATTCCATTGCAGGAAGAAGTTATAAAGAAAATATTGGAATGTGCTGAGATGAGTAGATTGACTTTTGAAATCAGAGAGCAAGAAGATAAACAATTTTATATAATTTGGGATCTTTTCTATCAATGGCTGAATGATGAAATACAAAAATAGAATATTTGAAATGTTAGACAATAAGGAATAATATTGATTTCATTTTTCTTTTCTCTTTTTTGGTATTGGATATTATATTTATATAATGGTTTTCTTTTTCTTTTTTTCTCTTATTTAGGATAGAACTGGCACGATTATATGATTTGTTTTAGAATAAATTACTTAAAATATAGTTATCTCACAAAGGCATGATCGAATAAAAGTATAGTCAAACTTCTTTTTCTTTAATAATATGATGATTTATAAGTTCGTATTGACAATAAGAGTTATTATATAAGGTAATTGCAATTGTGACTATGAAGTGAATGCACAAAACTGATGAACCAACCGACTCACTGCTTGTATATAAATATGGGAGAGCTGATGTTTTTATGTTTTGTCTGTTTGTTTGTATGTTAAAAAACAATAAAAATTTTAAAAAAAATGAATACAAACTATAGGGTATATGTCTTGCACAAAACAACTGAATAGCAAGGTGTTCAGAAAGGGCCAGTAAAAAGATTATTTCTATATTCTCTTCATGGACTAGGGCAGCTGGCACTTACATAGCTTCACTTTCACTTTCCATGGTCTATCTGCATCCCTGACTAGCAAACAAAAGCTTTCTACGGTCTCCTGTTAAAATCTATCCATTCGCATCACCTATGAGCAAAATGGACAATATATCTGGGCTTGCCAAGATGATAAAATCAACAAGTCTCTCTCTCTCTCTCTCTCTCTCTCTCTCTCTCTCTCTCTCTCTCTCCCTCCCTCCCTCCCTCCCTCTCTCTTTCTCGGATATGGCCATCTAACAATTTACATTATTAATTAATAAATATCTGGATGGGATTCAGAAAATATACGAAAAATGGTACTTGTTTCAGTTAATGTTTCTGCCTGATAGTGTGAATGGGCATGGAAACCAATCAAATTTAAACTAAAAAAAAAACCCAATTATTTGTAAGTCTTAAAATAAAATCACAGATGAGAAAAACAAATAATATATTAGTGTATGATGACAAACCACCTTAAAAAGAAAATACACTTTAAAAAAAAGAAAATATAGTAAAACTATTACTCTTGTGTTTCCAGACATTTATGGAAATAAACCTGCCTTGTTCATGGAAATTTGCAGCTGTGCCAGATGTTGGTTTTCATGTTTTCTTGTGCATCTGCATTTTGAAGCACTAAAGACGTATTTTGCCTTTGTAACACAGTAAGATAAAACTTTATGAAATCTTAATTTTATCTGCCATAGCTCCAATGATTTCCATCACCCCTCTGCTGATTTATTCTGCATTCATAGAACACCAACATCGAGATATTAAAAAGGCTGCTTTCATTACTATTTCGACACAATGATGATTGGATGATTTGAGAATACTTCTAAATGACTACTGTCATCAGACATCAAATTCAATTGAAGATTTTATATTTTAAAAATTGACAAAACTTTTGAAGGCTTTATAGGCTGCGTTCAAGACTTTGGAAGGCACATATGACCCAGGACAGTTGATTGTGGTTTAATATGGTAATTTAATCTGAGTTGAGATAGGCAATTACCCTTTAAGCATCTAAATAAATAATAACCCTTCAGGCGAACAGATCCCAAACCATTTGGGCAGCCAAAGGCAATAGTTTGAACTAATGCCAGAAAATACCTGGCAAGTTGTTTCAGAAACAGGAATGCTTGTGACCCAAAATGCAGACACTTACAAGTTTAAACTGCTCTAAACTTCAGAGTACCTGTTATCATTTTTCCTTTTAAAATTTTACTGCCAACTGAATATAAAGAAAATGCCATATAATGTTCTGAGTCATTATAGCAAATATGGAGAGGGGAGGGGGGAGGAGAGATTTGCTCAATTTCTCCAGCTAAAACACTGTAGATCTGAAAACTAAAACACAGCATATTCAGTTGTAATAGGAAGATGTGGCCTGGAGACTGGAACAGATCATAAACTATTCATATGCAAATTCCAAATTAAGTTAGAATGGAAATAAAAGCCAAATACTTTCCACGAGACATTTATCATGAGCATACAAGATGAATGTGAAAACAGATTGTGAAAGACCAAGAAATAAAAGGAAGCACTTTGGATGTCAGAACAGATGGTGGAAATTGTACAAAAGGGAAGAGAAGCCAAAGCCAAAAAAAGTAACATGACAAAAAAAATTCAGATTGTTAAAATAAACAAGATATAACATATATCACTGAGGACAGAAACAGACTTGGAAAAAACAGGAAGTCTTCCAAAAGATTTAGATCAGCAGAGTTGTCATTCCCAAATTAGAAAACTACAGGAATGGAATGTCTACAAAAATGTGGCAAAAAAGAACAAATAAGAACTAGCAAAACTTCTAGCTGTTTTGATCTATTGGGCACTGTCATTCTCTATTCTGTTGCCATAGTGTAGCTAGAAAAGGTTCTAGCTACACTATGGCAACAGAATAGAGCAGTGATGGTGAACCTTTTTCTTGTGGTGTGACTAAGCATGCACGTGCTGGCACCTACAATGCAATGAGCCCCGTCCCCCTGCGCATGTGTGTGCAACACCACCGCCCCGCCCTTTACTTGCACTGCGCATGTGCGTGCCTCCCAGCTGATTTTCGGCCCAGGGGAGGCCATTTTCACTCTCCTGGAGGCTCAGTGGAAGCCTCTGCAGCCTCAGGAGGCCGAAAAATGGGCCTTCCCGAAATACCAGAAGTGCCCGTTTTCAGCCTCCAGAGGGCCTCTGAAGCCCGGGGAAGGCTGTTTTTGCCCTCCTGGAGGCTCGAGGGAATCTGGAGGCTGAAAAACAGGCCCATTTCGGCACTTCCAGTATTTCCGGAAGGCCCATTTTTCAGCCTACTGAGGCTGCAGGGGCTTCCCTGGAGCTTCCATGGGGGAAAAAAACAGCCTGAAACAAGGCTAAAATCAGCTGGAAGGTACGTGCATGTACACTGCAGGTAAGTTTGGCTGGGGCTCACATGCCCACACAAATGGCTGTGTGCCACTTGTGGCACATGTGCCACAGGTTTGCCATCACGGGAATAACGAATGACAGTGACTAATAGGTCGAAAGAGATCAATAGGAAATAAGGAAGGGAGGGAGGGAGGGAGGAATGAATTACCTGTGGTGAAATGTAGCCTGGACTCCCAGAACCTGCATTCTAGAGGACCAAGAATCAGCTAAGTTTAGATAATTTGTTTGGGAGAATCAAGATAGCTCCTCTATAGAAGTCCTCAGACTTTATCTTTAATTATTCCAAGTAGTTACTTTAATTTGGCAAGATTTCTTGTCTATAGGTGAGGAAAAATAATGGAAACTACTTAGATGGAACTCTACATGCCTTTCTAGGTTTTTGGAGTCTGACACTATCATACGATATCCTTAATTTCACATACTAGCAAAATAATATTTAGGATCCTCCAACATTGACTGGACCCTGCATGAGAAGAGATACCAGATATTCAAGTGCTTTTAGAAAAGGCCAAGGAACAAGACACATTTTTGCTGATGCAAGTTGGATAAGTGAGAAAGCGAAATAATACTAAAAGAAAGTCAATATATGCTTTATTGATTGTAAGAAAGGCCTTTAATTGTGTTGAGTCAAGCTGTGGAACTTCCTTAGGAAAATAGGAATTCCAAAACATCTTGTACAAAACCCATCTACAAGAGAGGAACTTACAGTGTAGATATATGACAAAATAGCCTGGTTACAGGTTTGGCCAGTCAATCTCTCTTACCCCAACATCTTACAGGACTGTTGAGTGGAGAAAATAGGAGGAAGGAGTATCAGATATATTTGCCACCTTGCAATATAAAAATAATAGACATGGGATTTTAAAAAAAATCTAAAATAACAAAAAAATCGAGGCAAGGAAATATTCGACTATGACCATTTTGAAGTTTGAATGGCACTTACTGGTCATAGACTGCCAATTTTCCTTTAAATTCTAATTCTGAATAATTAATTCAAATTAATCTAATAGTTATTAGACTAATAATTAGTCTTTTGCCTAATATTTTAAATTCATTTTTTTGCTCACATTTTTTGCAAATGGGGTCCAGAAGCACCAGAATCTGCTATGGAGAGTTTAAAATAGAGGTTTTATTTACTTAGTTTATTCTGTTTACCTTTGCTTGTCCCTTGTTACATTACTATATCAAAGAAAATATAGTTTGCTTAGCAGTCTTTAGTATTACAAAATAAACTTTAGAATTTTCATTTTCTTGATTTAAAATAGACCACTTTACAACAGAAGTTGTACTCAGATTGATGCAAACTAATGAAAATCTCTTAAACTCAGCAGAATCTTCTTACAAGCAAAGTAATTCTGGGATATTATGTAAGAATTGAGTCAAAAGCATCATGAAAAATTTATAGACACACATTCTGGGCCATTTTATGAAAGACTCATCAGGGAAACCTTATTAAAGTAAAAATGTTTATTAGATCCATTCACAGCAACACAGGAATTATGATCTGGGTCTCTCCTTCTTGCCTTTGTACAAGGCTAGTAGAGAAACATTGGCTACTTTGACAACTTTGAAGCGAACTCCAGGAATGTCTCCAACAGCATGACCCTTCCGACCGAAGCCAGCAACCAGGACTTCATCATTCTCCTAGTTTAAAATGAGACAACAATTAACGTTTGATGACCAAAGCATGATCATGCTTTTACAATTTTTGGTTCCAAGAAAAAAATGATTGGTTTTATTCAATTAATATTTTTCCCTTCAATTAGGTGCCATATTATATCAATGTATTTACCTCAATAAAATTCAAACAGCCATCATTGGGAACAAAAGCTGTAATCTTCTTGCCATTCTTGATAAGCTGAACTCGAACACACTTCCTAATGGCAGAATTCGGCTGTTTAGCCTCTACACCACTGAAACATGAAATGAACAATAAAGATGCTGTTATAATACATTTCTAAAGTACAATAATAATGCTTAGCAACTAATTATATAATCTTCATGTTCTGAATTCATAATCTTAAGATCTTAAAACCATATGATATTGGGGATTGTCTTCCCATGTGCAGATGACAATCAAAACTAAAGCACAATTTAAAGCTTGTCCTGTTTAAGTAGGACCACAGCAAAATCCAAGCACCACTCGATCTCTTTACTATTTTCTGTGGATCTTACTCCAAATAAGTGTGCATAAAGCTGAAATGTTAATTTCACCTATTCTAAGAAAAAAAAATATTTACAATTATATAAGTGATACCACAGATAAAGCAAAAGTTGTATGCCACCTACTTGAAAACAAAACCCATGTAACTCAACAAGACAAACTGGAGTCTCTGTGACTTCCAGGGGGCTCGATTCTAAGTATCCTTAGGGAAATAACTGCCTGCTATTTCCTTTAGAAATAAAAACAAAAGAAACCTAACACTTAAAAAGATGCAAAAGACAGATTAAGGCTGGTTCTAAATAGACCAGTGTCCTCAGAGAATGGTCTGGGAAGCCTGAGAGGTCTTCTAGACCAGGGATGTCAAACTCCCGTTGTCAGAGCGGAGTCATGTGACATATCGGGAATTTTTTTCCCCTTTGCTAAGCTGGGCGGGGCCAGCACACGACACATACTTTAGTATGTCAACAAAGTCAAATGTTTAAATTATTCAATTTTAATCTCTAATACAGCAGGTGTAGAAAAAACTAATATAAACCAAAGTTCTTTGAGTTCTCAATCATTCTTAAAAATGTAAAAGGACTTGAGACCAAAATGCAAATTACTCTATATCAAACAGTAATCTCTAATTTCAATAATTGGAAGAGAAATCAATCATTTAGAAGAACTGTGCTAAGACAACAACTTTTAAGATCTTACTCTAAACAAACATGTAAGTTTTATTTATGTACTTTTTGAAGCTATAGATACAAAAATATCTCCAAATACCAACACAAGGGTCCTCTTTGTAGACTTCAGTTCAGCATTCAATACCATCATTCCAGACACTCTTCTAAGTAAATTAAACCAACTCGCGGTACCTGAACACAATTGTAAGTGGATCATAAGCTTCCTAACAGACAGGAATCAGCAGGTGAAACTATGCGGAATCCCATCCAATACCTGTACAATCAGCACAGGGGGCCCCCAAGGCTGTGTGCTATCTCCACTTGTCTTCTCCCTATATACCAATGACTGCATCTCAAACAATCCGTCTGTTAAAATACTGAAGTTTGCTGATGACACAACAGTGATTGGTCTCATTCTAGACAACGATGAATCTGCATACAGACAGGAGGTTATACAATTTGCCTCGTGGTGTAACCAGAACAATCTTGAACTGAACACACTCAAAACCGTAGAAATGGTGGTAGACTTTAGAAGAAACCCTCCTATACTACCACCTCTTACAATACTAGATGACACAGTATCAACAGTAGAGACCTTCAAATTTCTAGGTTCTACTACATCATATGACCTAAAATGGACAGCTAACATCAAAAACATCATCAAAAAAGCACAACAAAGAATATTCTTTCTGCGCCAACTCAGAAAGCTCAAACTGCCCAAGGAGCTGCTGATACAGTTCTACAGAGGAATGATTGAGTCTGTCATCTGCACCTCTATAACTGCCTGGTTTGGTTCTGCAACCCAACAGGACAGACACAGACTTCAGAGGATAATTAGGACTGCAGAAAAAACAATTACTACCCACCTGCCTTCAACTGAGGACCTGTATACTGCATGAGTCAAAAAGAGGGCTGTGAAAATATTTACAGACCCCTCACATCCCGGACATAAACTGTTTCAACTCCTTACTTCAAAACAACGCTATAGAGCATTGCACAGCAGAGCAACTAGACACAAGAACAGTTTTTTCCCAAAAGCCTTCACTCTGCTAAATAAATAATTCCTTCAACACTGTTCAACTATTTACAAAGTGTACGCTACTATTACTGTTAATCTTCTCATCACTCCTTATTACCCATCCCCTCCCACTTGACTGTTTCCTAGTATGATTTGATTGTTGATTGTACCCTATGACTATCATTAAGTGTTGTACGTTATGATTCTTGATTCTTAACGAATGTACCTTTTCTTTATGTATACTGAGACTATTTACACCAAGACAAATTCCTTGTGTGTCCAATCACACTTGGCCAATAAAGTATTCTATTCTATTCTATTCTATTCTATTCTATTCTATTCTATTCTA